ACTCGTATTGAGCAAATCGGCTGATATGCAGAAGGCAACTGTCAGCCATACTTAAACTTATTTCTTCGCATGGCAGCGCCATTCGATACACTCCTCTCCAAAAACAACTGTTTTTAATTACTCTCTCAAATCTGATCCCTACTCAAAATCAAACTCTGATCCTTATATCTACTCCGATGATTCGACCGGTAGAATACACAGCTTCTGAACTGGCCGCCTGAGTCTGTTGGTCGCCGTTTGAACAATCGCATTTCGAACCAAACCGTCCTTGCTCGTGATTAACTCAACTATCCTTCCAAGTGCCCAGCTTGTTGGTGGGAAATTCTCTGTTTTGATCACGACAAGCTGTCCAATGCTGATTCCTTCCTTTTCTCTCCTCCATTTCTTTCTCTCCTGCAGTGTGACCAAATATTCCTCTTTCCATCTATCCCAAAAATGTTGCACCATTTTCTGGCGCTCTCTCCAACGCTTAACTCCAATCGACTGTGGTTTGGGGTCAATAACAAACGGTAACGGCGTTATCAAAGGCTCGCCTACCAAGAAGTGACCAGGTGTTAATGCCTGCATGTCATTTGGGTCGTCACTTATCGGATTCAGCGGCCTTGAATTTAAGATGGCTTCAATTTGAGTGAGTACCGTCGCTAAACCTTCGTATGTCATTATTTTCATTCCAATCGTTCTTTTCAAGTGAAATTTCATTGATTTGACAGCAGCTTCATATATGCCACCTTGATGAGCTGCTGGCGTCATGAATTTCCAAACTGTTCCTTTGCCATGCAAATGATCTAATGTTTCTTTCCCAATCCAATATTCCAATGATTTTCTCAGTTCTTTCTCTGTTCCAACAAATGTAGTCCCATTGTCGCTGAATATCTTCTCACATCTACCTCTCCTAGCGATGAATCGTTCATAACACTCGATAAATGCTATTGAAGTGAGATCTGAAACGATATCAATGTGAATCGCTCTTGTTTTCAAACAAACGAATATCGCAACCCAGCATTTCTTTCTTTGCTGTTCATTTGATGCACCGGGTACAATGACTTCAAATGGTCCAGCATAATCTATCCCCGTGTGTACAAATGGCTTCCCACTCTGTACTCTTTCCATCGGCAATTCTGCCATCAATTGTGATTCAGTGCGAGCATTCAATCTGACGCAAACGACGCATTTGTGTACGACGTTTCTCAAAGCATTCCTAAGTTTGGGTATCCAATACTTTTGTCGAATGAATTGCATCATCACTTGCACACCTCCATGATCTGTTTCCCTATGAGCATATTCCATGATAAGGCAACCCAAACGTGATTCGTGTGGAATGATGAACGGGTGCTTCATCTCATAATCTAATTCCGATCTATCCAATCTGCCTCCTAGTCGTAATAAACCTTCGTTGTCTAAAATCGGCTTTAACGATTCCAATTTGCTTTTTTCTGGCAATTTTCCATCTTTCCTAATCGACGTAACTTCTTTATTCCAATGCTCTTGTTGTGATTTCCTTATCAAATACAACATCGCTTCGGTTTTCTCTTCGTTTGAAGGTGGTACAACTCCTTGTACCACTTCTCCTCTCCGTTTACGCGTCTTTTTCAATTTTATCTGTCCTAATCTAATCCTAATAAATCGATTGACATAACTGATAACGTTTATTGCTTTCTCCAATTTGCTTGTATATTCCAATAGCGGAACGTTTCTGTTTGTTCCCTTGATGCCGATTCGCAGCTGATCTCTGAAAACAGTGAATGTGTTGACCTTAACTTCATCCATGGCCTCTTCAGGTGGTTTCTGCATTATACTAGATGCAGGCCATTCCGATTGTGACAGTAATAGCCAACTCGGTCCGTGTAGCCACAAGTCATTGTCAATCAAACCTGATGGTGATACACCTCTTGTCAAAAGATCTGCCGGATTATCTGTCCCATCAATGTGTCTCCAGCATCTGATTTCCGTATTTTCTTGAATAGATGCCACTCTGTTTGCCACATACGTTTTCAACGTGCAAGGCTCTTTCCTTATCCAATAGTACGCAACGCTCGAATCTATCCAAAGAAATTGCTCTACTGTTGGCCATTCCATCTGTTCAGTCACATCTTTTACCAATCTCGCCAACAGCTCGGCAGCCGTTAACTCCAACCTTGGTAGAGCCACTGTTTTCACCGGTGCGACACGTGATTTTGTCGTAAGCAAATTACATACCACTTTCTTGTTTATGCTTTCAACTCTAACGTAAACATTTGCTCCGTAGGCTTGTTCACTGCTGTCGGAGAATCCATGTATTTGGATCCTTATTTCTTTTCCAGTGCTCAACCATCTATCTATCCTAAAGCTTTCGATACATTTTATGTCTTTCCAAAATTCTCTCCATCTGTCCACAAATTTCTCATTCAATTCCTCATCCCATGACACTTTTTCTTTCCACAAATCTTGTATCAATATCTTTCCGCGGATCGTGATTGGAGTTATGTAGCCGTTTGGGTCATAAAGTTGAGCCACATGACTCGCAATCGTTCTTTTCGTGATCTTTCCGATGTCATTCGGGTTTTTCACGACGAATGTGAATCTATCCTCATCAATCAGCCATTTCAATCCTAAAATGGTCGATTGGTCCTCTTCCTCCTTGAAAAGCATTGCTTTTTCACTATCCGAATTCATGGCATTGCGGACATTCTTGTTGTTGGATTTCCATTTTCTCAATTCGAAGCCCGCACGTGACATGATCTTATCCATGTCTTTTGCTAGTTGTATGGCATTCTGTTCCGAATCTGTCCCAGTTACGCAGTCATCCATGTAAAAATCTTCTTTGATTGCTTTCGCAGCTTTAGGAAATCTTTTCTCTTCCTCCGTCGCAGCCTGCATCACGCATCGTACTGCTAAATGCGCTGACGACGTCATTCCAAAAATGACTACCTTCCACCAATACTCCTGTAAAGGTTGATCGGTAGTCTCTCTCCAAAAAATTCTTTGCAAATTCCATTGCTGTCTGTCCAATTTCACTTGGTTGAACATCTTTTTGATGTCAGCGTACACTGCGATTCTGTGCCTCCTAAATCTCATGATTGTTTCATATAAATCTCTTTGTAACTTTTGATCCAAGTAACTGAATATCGTTCAATGATACTCCCATATCTGTCTTACAGCTAGCATCAAAAACAATCCGATCATCTTTAGATATAGAGTGATGCGGAATGTAATACACTAGCTCGTTGGGCTTCGGTCTTTCCGAAGCTCTTTCCAAGTGTCCTAAGCGTATAGATTCGCGCATTTTCTCTACATATTTCAACCTCATATTCTCATCTCTTCCAAATCTCTTTTCCAAATAGAGAAAACGCTTCAATGCTATCTCTCTTGAGCTTCCAAAGCATCCAATATCCGATTTCAACGGGATCCGAACGGTGAATCTACCCGATTCGTCCCTCCTAAAGTTTTCCATAAAATGTCTTTCCACTTCTAATTGTTCTTTCGTTAACCTTGATGCAACTGGCACTTGATCTTGTTTCCATAATCTCTCTAAAAGTCTGTCCAAATGAATGTCATCTCCGCATTCAATCATTGCATTTGTCTGTCCAATTCCAAAATTATCCATTTCATCTAGGTCACTTTCCGGATCTATTCCAAATATAATAATTCCAAATTTCGTTTCCATTTACGCAGTACCATCTATCGTTCTATCCACTACTGAAATAATTATCCTTGCAAATAATCCTACTCCGAACAACAAATGCACCTGCTCCGGCACCCAGTAATTCGGATCAGCGAAGTCCATTTCATAGTTGTTTTGCATTTTGAACGGATTCATTCTCCGATCCGGCATGTACGGTGCTCATCCAGCGTCTTTGGGCATGATCCAGAACACTGCTTTTTCGAAAATATCATCGTTAAACCACGCATGAATCTTCAACGTTACCTTTCGGCGAATTTGGAACGCTTGTCCGTTAATTCCAATCATGCGACGTGACATTGGCATCGAATTCAAGCTTTCTTTCAGTTTTGTGTCAAAGAGACTATAACTTACTCCATTGGGCTGCGCCCCCGTGTCCATGAATGCTCTTGCCGAAACAAATTCATTTGATCCAATTGCAACTCTCACTACTGCTGTTGGGAGGAAAGTACTTTTTTCGTTTATTTGTAAATCAAAGTCAGCGGTATAAGGCAATGAATCAGTTTTCTTTATTTTATTTTTCGGTTCTTTGTTACAATTCCAACGTCTCTTTCCTTTTTGAATCTTATCCATTTTTTCCAAAATCAACTTATCTTTCTGTTCCAATAACTCTATCTTACTTTGAACCAATTCCAATTTATCATTGAATAGTGATTCATCCTCTTCCGATTTCTTCTGTCCTTTGTTCATTGCCGAATCGCCACTGCCTTTCTTTCCAAAGTTGTTTCCATTTTTTCTTTCCGATTTGTCGTTCAATTTGCGTTTCTTCGCTGGCGTGGGGCTGTCTAGTCAATCCGATGGGCCTCCAATTGCACCATGATTTGCGCTGAATTGATTGCTCAACTTGTGTGGGCAGAGCAGACTGTTGTGCATCGTATCATTTCTGCATTGCACATAGCTACAACGTCGTGAATCGTCACATTCATTCCGGCTGTGGCCCTTCTTGAGGCAATTCAGGCACAGCTTGCGTCGCATTGCGAAATCTTTCCGAGCGTACGGACTTAACGCCAAGAAATTTGGGCACTTAAAAATCGGGTGCGTCTCTCCACTGTTCGGTGGACATGCTTCGCATGGATATGCCTTTGGTATAGCACCGGTTTTCTTTCCACTTCGATTTGTCTCGTTGGCTCTTTCCAATGCATATTCATTTCCAACGCTGATTGTCATGCTCCGCCGAGCTTCATTCGTACGCTTTGATGCAGCAGCTTCTCTATCCAAAAATTCCAACATTTCCAAAATTGTCGGTGTATCTTTCCCATTGCGTACCTTTTCCCATTCCTTTGCCGTAGCGTTGTCCAATCGCTCGTGTAATCCATGAACAAGCACGAAATCCCAGTGTTCAACCGGATATTTCAATGCACGCAATTGACGAACGATTTCGTGTGTCTTGTTTGACATATTCTCAAAGTCATTTGCTGACGCTGGTGAATGCAAGGCCGGCAATGCGTAGAAATCATTCATGTAGTCGCGTGCAATTTGGTATGGCTTGTCGTATGTGGCCACGATTCTATCCCATGCTTCTTTGTAGCTATCACCTGATTCTTGTCTCTCTCCTAATACTTTAGCAGCCTCTCCTACCATTGAACTAACCAGGTGCATGAGCTTGAACGATTCATCCACATTGTCATTGCTGTGGACAGCCGCCATAAACCGGTCGCGGAAACCCAGCCATTTCCGCCGATTTCCGTCAAACTTTCCCCATGTATTGGGTATGGTGTGGACTGGCATAACGACTTTGATCTGTGTTTGCTCTAAATTATTACCAGCTTCGCTTGCTGCTCGACTTTCGGCTTGAACTTTTCTTTCCAATTCGTCAATCTTTGCTCCAAATGTCGAACTCGCATCATAAAATTCTTCTTCCATGATAGCGAAGCAATCATCGTATGATTGTACCAGATGCTCTTCAACCAACTCAATCAATTCACGATATGTCATTTTTGCTTCTTCCCATTCTTTCATAATCTCTCCGTAGCGAATGCTCAAACCTCTATGGTTAAGTGTTCCAAATCTATCCGACAACGTGAATGTATATGCACGATGGATCACTTTTTGATGCGATTGGAATGCTCTTGCCAATTTACTTGTTGTCTGTATGGCTTGCTCCAATGGTTCATTGGCTATTTCCGATCTTTCCGTATGATCTTCATCGTTATCATCTGCTCTATCCAATGGTTCATTCATGCGTCCATTTGCATCGTTCTGTCCGTCTTGATCCAATTGTAGAGCCCCATCGTCTTGCACATTTTGATTTTCTGGTGGAGGTTGTGGCTGCTGTACAACATTTCTTTCTGTCCGTAAAACTTCAGCTAAAGTTGCTGTCGTTCCATCTCTCCCATGCGTACTAGAGCTTGCGGCAGCAGCCGGTTGGTTTGCTCTTTTGGCTCTCGATTCCGTCTTTCCACCTTTCGATTCTTCCGCTAAATTCAAATGAAGAAAATCTATTAATTTCTATCCGATCAAAAAAAAAAAATAATCCTATAATTCAATCCTATTTATTGCGACAGTGTGTGAATTCTACTTTGGTTTAAACTCTCTTTCTATCCAAATCTAATTTTCTTTCTCTTTCCTCCTATGAGCTCGTCTTTGTCAATATGAACGCATCACATTCATAGACTCCAATCCAATCCAATTCCAATGTTCATTTGCGCAAATAAACTAAAAAACTATTTCATTCCAATTCCAATGTTCACTTTAGAACCTTTCCCAAATCTGATCAAAACTGCAATTCCAATTTTTTCTCTTAAATCCAATCCAATACTCATCCAAATTTCTATTGAAAAACGCCCTGTGGCCCGCTTTGGTCGACACAAAACGGGCACAGCACAATTCAAAGCCTTATTTGTTTTCCAAGAATTGTATACATGTCTGTGCCTGTTCACGTTGTGAATGTGTTTATGCAAAGGCTGCGACTCACTGTTGCACGCGCAAACCACGCGCTAGCAGCGTGCACATCAAACAATTTCTCAGAAATCACGGGCTATGCGAATTTCACAACACTGTCTAATCATTGCGATCGATTCCTATTTTTCGTTATTTCTATCCAAAACGATAATTATCTATCCGATTATTCTTATTCTTTTCCTACTTTTTGTTTCCTATCTTTTTCGCAATGAATTCTATTCCAAATCCAAGTTTTTCAAGTATTTCACAACTCTGCGCAATTCCCATTCACTCTCTTCTTAATCCAATACTTACTCTTTGTTTTCGATGATTTTGGAGTTTTTGGAGGAGCCATTTCTGACCTTTTTCACCGATATACAATCGAATATTTCAATTTATGAAAATTTCAAACCAAATTTCACCGTTCAATTTCAAGAGATAAATAAGAATTCGCGAATGGCGTTGTTTTAGCAGAGTTGTTTATGCACACTTGTTGCTTCGAGTCTCGTCACCACAGTAATGCCGGTGACAACAACTCTTTTCTTTCTTTCCGTTTTGTGCTCTCTCCGATGCTACACACTTCGTCCATTGAGCGTGTATATGTGCAGTGCTCATGCTGTCGCATCTGCT